TATTCTTAACAGCAATTCAGTGAAAGGCAGATCCCAAGTGGAAATATAATGTTCAAAGAAATACAACCAATGTATTATACAAAGAATAACATTGTTGTAGTTTAGCATTTTTCTTTCCTTTAAGACTATTTGGAAGACCTAAGAAGCCAGACACTCTGAGTTTCAATCGTGGATCTGAAATCATGAACAAGGCTAGGGATCTAAACTCTTGAGTCTCAGCTTTCTATTTTCTAAATTAGGGGTATAATATTTTCCATATTGGGTTGCTTGGAGAATTAAAAGGCATAACACATAAAGGATAAAGCAGGAGGCTTTCTGAAGCGCAATTCTCAGTAAATCTAAGCTTTCTTTCTGAAAGAGCTGATATTTCTGTTTCCCCTTCTCTTTGCTTCTCTGATAATTTGTTTTAGGTAACAAGGCACCCTAGGGGTGGCAGGAAGCTCACAAAGAGCATCCCGGTGTGTTTTAAAATATAAAGGGCGACAGTGGCACTTGACATTTTTAGACACAGAGTGGCTCCAAGAACTTCAGTTTCAATGTTAGACTGTGATACATTCTTCCATTAATGTTCTATACACAAGGCTGTGTTTCTTTTTTAAATTTTTTTGTTTTGTTTTTGAGACAGGGTCTCACTATGTAGTTGAGACTGACCTGAACTCACTATGTAGCCCAGGCTGGTCTCTAACTCACAGTGATCCTCCTGCCTCAGCCTCCTGAGTTCTGGGATTACAGGCGTGCGTCACCATGCCCAGCAAGGCTATGTTTCTTATAGTTCCTGTGCTAAAAATACAAGTACCGCCTGAAAATCAACGTGCAACATGAAACTGGTGGTATCAGCTTCATTCTATGATTTGAGAAATTGACAAAAATATCCTATTTGTGAGTGTTGAAGAATAAAAAAATTTTTAGTTTACGAATTTTTTTTCATATGGCTACAAACTGTTAGGATATGAGTACTCATTAAGTCATTTGGATTTTACTGTTCAGTAGATGGTGTTGCTTAGGTATTTCTTTTGGTCTAAAAGTGCTACGATAAAACAACAAAGGTACTAAGAGTACTTAAAAGGTGGGAACTTTCTTCTCTAACAGTACTGAACCTTGGAGAGATAACAGTGACATAGGTAAAGATGTAGATATTTTTACTAGGTTTATAATAACATGTAGAATCAAATAACCAAGACTGTATCTTGTGCATAAACACACTATTCCTAAGGAATAGTTAATTGTCTTTTAATTTTTAATTTTATCAGTACCTGTGTGTATTTTCTGCAGTTTATAATAACCTTCAGGAGTGGTTACATGTACATAGGAAAGCTCATTTCTCTTTTCTTAAATCCCTTCTCTCCACCGCCTCCCCCCCTGGCCTCCTCATCCAAATCCCCTATCCCATTTTCCATTCTTGTTGATATTACTGATCGTAGCTCCTTATGGCATATAATGTTTACATTAATTGAGGTATTAGGTTCCTGTACCTTCATTCTAAGGGATATCTTTATTCTACTTGTTTCCCCTTCCCTTCCCCCTCACTCCTCTTGCTTTCCCCTTGGATTACTTCCCTATTGCAAGAGATCGCTCTCCTTGTTCCATTCTATTCACCGTTTTTTATTCTTCATGTATAATAGTTAATTTTTTTTTTTTTTTTT